ATGAAAGAAAGGGCGAGCACTCTTGTGTTTCAACCCCACTATCACTATACTTTGAATTGTTGTGGGGCACTGTGTACTTACAGCCTCTACGATAAGCAAGTGAATGGGGTCGGTGCATGGCGAACGGAACGGTTCATCAAGCCATTTATCGCCTCAAACCCCTAAACTAAATAGGAAGAGGGGTACTTTACAAAAAGGGGGTAATTGCTTCACACCTGACTGTGATAGCCCTCTCGATACCTTATTGCAGCTTTGTTAGTAGTGGCCGTGGCCGCTTTCCCATTGCTAGAGCCTTTTCCCAGTGCGCGGAGACCCAACGAGGAGGGTGTTAGTGGTTTATCATTGGGTCAATAATGCTAATACCTCTTTATTTTTGTGCTACTCCTAGGGCGGGAAGAAGATAAGAAAACGCGAAGCGTTCTATTGGTTTCCCAACTTGTTGCTTCTAAAGGCTGCCCTCTCTCGGCTGGATGTTGGTCCAGCCTACTACGAGGATCCCATATCCAGCAACCCAATCTAAAAAACGGTAAAAAAAAGGCCTTGTCTAGGTTGGAGCTATGAAGCTTACCTTATTATGATGTATGAAAAGGCCTTTCCTTCATGGGCTTACTTAGTGCTTGTGCTAAGGAGCAAGAAAACGGATGCGCTAAGGTTGACGCTAGACCCAAACAAGCAACGGCGAGCCCCTATCAGAGAAAGCCTTGGTCAAGCGTGCTAGCGCGCTTTACTTGGAAGTTCGCGCATCCTCTTGCTGGGAGAGGGGCTAATGCCACTCGACTGGTTGGAGAGGGGTGAAGTGAGAGTCAGGGGAATGGGCTTTTTCAGCTGGTGTGCTAACGCGCACTTCCGTTTTCCCTTTACTAGTAGGGGGTCCCGTGGTTCCTATGCCGCTGCGTTTCCCGATCCTTTTCTTTTAGTGCTTCGACCCGAAGCGATAGCTTCTAGCTAGTTCAGTGGATAAGATGGCTGCGCTCCAGCTCACTCAAGAATGGGACGACAGTGGTCCGCCGGCAAGCTCGTTCTGATCTTGGACGCAGTACATTGGAATCCTGAAGCACCACCACGAACGCTACCGCGCGTTCGCCTGCGGTGCGGTAAGGCACCACCCTGTTGTGCCAGCAGCCAACTCCGGCGTGTCAGCTTAGTTATCCTCATCAAGCCACTTACTTGATGTCTAGCTTGCCAACTGGTAGACGGTTCCTTTTCCCCCAGATCAATGAAGAAGGGATAAGTCAGTTTATTCTTCCGAATAACGGGAAGCAAAGCGCTATGCCGGGGCGGGGGGACGGGAAAAGAAATGGCTCCGAAGAAAGAAATTGAGATTCCCAATGCTTCTCCACGCCCAACGAGATGCGCCAACCTCGGAATGCTTTACTCCTAACCCCACTAGGTTCCGAGACGGAGCTTAACCTGAGTCTCGGTTAAGAACGGCGATGATCTACGTTTCACACGGCGCACGATTCCATGGATAGTTTCATTCGACATCGTGATGGAGGACATAACTTACGATCATCGGCTTTGATCATGCCACTAGGCATTTTATTAGGACATTGGAAAATTATCCGCAGACTTTGTCGCATCTCTTCAATACGGATACAGTAACGATCATAGCGATCTCCTCTGGTACCTACTGGTACGTCAGGATCCGATTGGTCATGAACATCGTAAGGTGCTGCTCTTCGCGAATCCCAGCATACCCCTGGTTGGGATGGGTAGGCCCACCACTTCACTTTCACTTAGGCCTGGGCCAAGTCAGTGGGGGGACCCTGTCGGGCTAGGAAGCTCCTGAGTCAACCTCTAATCTATAAGCCAGTCAGCGGGATAAATGAATATGAACTTCTCTAAGAGAACAATTTAACGGGTTTAATTGAATTCCGTTATCTGATCAGATTAGATATTCTCTAAGACTGTATAAGAGAGACCTAACTAACTGGATTGCTAGCAGTGATCATACCCGATGATGTGAACCCGATTGAATCAGCTCTTGTGATCATATCCCATGCTATCAATGGGAGTGAAGTCCGCCTATCCATCAACATAAAAGTGAAAGGATCCCGCTAACTACTGCACTTCCTAATGTGATATTTAGTTTTGCCTAAACTTGCCCGCCCATACTCTTAACTTTTCGCTGAAGCTCTCAGACTAGAGCTATTCTCACTAAACCTAAAATTCTAATATACCCCTCTCTCCTCTCTCCTCAATGGCTAAATACCAAATCTAACCTTAAATGGGTTAAAGACCGAGCCAGAACAGGAGCTTAGCCTCAATCTTAGATAGGAGATTCCCCATAACAACTCAACTACGTCGAGCCTTGCCTTGAACAAGCTAATCAACCTCAATCCTAGGAAATGATTTCAGGTGAAGCTCACCCCTCTTGTTCTCATCTTAAGGGAAGGCCCAGGCGCAGAAGGAAGACTCTTTGATCGGGTAGTTCCTGTTCTCAGTCATCTTAGGTGCGGTTGGCCAATTAATTACTTAAATTTATAGCGCGAGCCCCACTCATACAAGTAGGGGAAAACTCTAGTTCAACTATTTTTTTATTCAGATTCATAATTGGCCGGGGCCTTAACCGTAGCTTTAGGGCCAAAAGCCTATCTATGGCCTTTTAGCTGGGGGTAGCTATGGCAAGGGTAGTTTACTCGGAAAAAGGAGGGGAAGCCCCGACTTTCCAATAAGGCCCGGGGGAATGAAAACACTCAACCGATGGGGGGAGGAATGAACAACAGCTCTAGGGGATAAATATGGATATCCAGTGGCAACTGAGCAGGAGCAGCTCTACCCGCACATAGCTAAATATCCCCCTTCCACGCCACCCAGTTGGTGAGCTCCGCCCTTAAGGGAGCCCATCCGTCGGTCGGCCAATATTGGATAGTCAACTAGCGCACAGGGTAACTCGAATATCAAATATAAGAATAGCAGCCCCGGTCTCAAAAACAAGCATGGAAACAGCAGTCAATCAGAAAGATAAGTTGAAGTTAGCTTTCAGCTGTTCAACCACTAAAGACTAAAGTGGGTGAAGCATAGTTTCGTCCGTCCCTCTCGCTTTCAGCGCGGGATAGAGTTATCAGTACGTGCGACACCAACTCTTTCGTTTTCACTTATTTTTTATACATATATAGATCTATTCCTACCATATTTCGTTACTTTATCGCGAAAAAGGGGAGCTGTTGGGCTCCTTCCTGTTTTATTAGCATCAAACCCACTCAACAGGATATTCCATAAGCACTCCGAAAGGTATAGTGTGAAGGAAAGTAGGTCCCTTACATGAGAGTTTGCGAACACGGGGGGCTTATGCTCCTGCTGCTCATATGGAACAGGTTGGCCCCCAAAAAGCCCCAAGGGAACGAGCGAAAGGGTTGCTTGCCGGAACAGCAGATCGAGCAGCCTATTATTTATTACATTTCTGCCCCAACTATTCCAAAAAGGGTAACAAATGGGTCTAATTCTGAGACAAAAGTAATTTAACATCCCTGATTCGGAAACTGCTGCAGTGGGAACTCTACTTGCCATTCCTCCTTCCGAAGTGAAAGTTTTCATTCTCCCCTTGGCCCATTTGAAAAGCCTAACCCCAGGTGAAGTACCAGATTATGAAGTTAAAGTAAGGAATTGCCCTGTCTGATTCGTAAAGCTTTCGGAGAAGGAGGGGAGATCCGCGGAGGTAGAATTCTGAATACGGGTACGAAGGGTCATCCAGAAGCGCTGGAAGGGGGGCTGGAGGAAGGGGACGAACCACATCAATTGAGTTATATCCGACAGGCTAACACCCACGTACCTAGAAAGGAAGGGGAAAGTATTACCTTTTGGAAACATAAGGCGCATCAGAAAGGAATCCGGATATATTTAGATAGCCAGATTCACGAGCTGAGGACTAACTAAGTCGAAGTGAAAGTCTGTGCCATTGTTAGTACCAAGACCTTAGAATAGTGAACACCAAGTGAAGAGCCACCCTCCGGGAACGTCGAGAAGGGGGACGAACAGCTTTGATTGGATCCGATCTGGTAGACAGAGACGAAGACAAGGATGAATAATATGAAGAAGGCTATGCCGAATCCGAGGGAAGAAGAAGAAGCAGAACTCGCCAAGAGTCTGAGATCAGATTGAACAATTATCAGATTTTCATCATATCAAATGCTCTTTCAGTCTGCAGAAACTTGGGAGGGGTCACAATAGAATCAAGTATTCTCACACTTAATCGCTTTGCCAACGGTATGAACCGTGACAAAGTGAATAAAAGAAGGATAGATATAACTGAACTAATGTGTCCGCCTTATCATCCTTCCTCATTATCACCTTACGGTGAAATGAAGGAATGATCCTAGGTAGACCATTCCGACTGAGGGAGACGAAAACTGGTAGTTTCTCATGCTCGTAAGGCGGCCCGACGTAAACCTGTTAAAGGCAAACGCCACACTGCTTTAAATAAAGTGCAGTAGATAAAGGACCGGACTTACGGTATAATTGACGTACCTGTTTCGCAAACAAGTGCGCAACTATACAGTTATCCTTTGAAAGGCCATCAGTGACCTTTCAGAAAGATTCTGGGTTCATTCCACTGAAACTAGCTGGCAATATCTTATAAGTGCTATTCCCTCTCAGCTTCAAAAGGGCTTCCCCGAGGAGAGTACGGGGCATCTCTATGGTTCCAATATGGTATCGCAGAGTTCGTCGATCTTCTTCTGACTAGTGTCATGCTGTCAAACATAAATATAATACAATATCGGGAATCTCTTTAACCTTCAAAGTGTCTAGGGTAGGGACCTATCTTCTTCGTAGTGGGCCCTTATCTCTCTTAGTATGAGCCCCGAAACTGCTTGTTATACATACTGCCAGCTGTCTTTCCCGGCGCTTCTGCTTTCTGCCATAGAGGTGTGAGGTTAAGAATGATCGAAATAAGACACGATAGAAGGTGGGTGACTAAATGGGAGCATTTCCTTTCTTGCCCGATAAGCTCCTATCGTGGTTTTCGATTGTCGATTGCTTTTGTACTTTGACCCTTGGCTAGTTCACTGAGCTATATCGGGGACTTAGCGTTTGACTGTTGCCAACTCGGGGGTTGAACCCGAGAACTTATGTTCTGAGTGAGAGGTGGAAAACATTAAAAAATCCATAGGCCAACGAGCGAAGGAAATATCTCAGGAAAGGGGATTAACCCCAGGACGCTGCGAGGCGGTGGAAGATGCGGCAAACTACATTGCCGAAGATGTGGAAGATCTAGCAGAAAATCAACAAGTAAGCTTCCTAGTCAACTTAATGCGAGACCTTAATAATCCCAACAGCGAGTCGTGGGAGCGCATCGAAGAGGAGGTGAAAAGATGGCGCTCATTGGAGGATTAGGGTCGACCAACAAACAGGGAAGGACCACGTACCTGGTTCGGCAAAGAAATAAAGTATCACACATCCTCTTGTTCCCAAGAGTCCCATGTTATTCTCTCATGCTTCTGATGGATCTAGCAAAGACGGATCCACCTCTTATAGGGATCTGGTCACTCATTCGGATTTAGATTCATCCAAGTCTACCATAACGGCTGCTAAATCCCTCCCTATTTAACTTTGACTCTTTTCAGGGCGGGAAAAAGACCGGCTCTCTAGTTCTGTCATGGAAGGGGGCAAGGTGCTGACCGATGTCGATTAGGAAGCTGCTCCTGTTGTAAAGAAGTGAGGCAGCGAAGAAGAAGCATTTTAGCATTCACCTGTCCGTCCTTCTTTATGGAATGCTCAAGCCTAGTGAGAACTCAAGTCGATTCGAATGACTGGATCCACTGGAACTAAGGCTATTTCTAATGCCCGAAAGGAAGGTGCTTAAGCTGAAAGAGTGGTCAGTGAGGCTCAATTCTTTGTATTGATTCCAAGACCCAGGGCATAAGGAATTCACTAAGTATAATAATATTATCCTTTTGATTCAATAGAAGGGGATGCCCCTAATGTGGTAATAGCCGGTAGAGACCTACGTTATTCACAATAGGTGAACTTGCTAGAATGCTGTTTAATAAACTTCTTTATATAGGTAACTGGAAAGCTCTATCCCCTCAGCTGGCTTAAAAAGCTATTTATCCTTATTCAACTTGGTAAATTGAAAGAAGTCCCAACCACGAGGCTTTGCCGCGAGAGTTTCGACATTAGTGATTTGCTCTGAATCAGGCCCCTAAACCAAGGCAAATAGCCCATAATACATATGAATCCGACGGATCGGACCGAACTGCCAATGAAATCCATTTAGCCAGTTAAGCTAAGAAGAAAGAAATAGATCAGAAATCGAGTTTGAAGGCCCGAGAGTACGGGAACGGGTCCGGTAGGGAAGGTGCGAGATGATGAATGAAAGGGTCTGCCTCAACAGATGAATCCGTGACTGCTGCGACTGAGGAAGGAATCGATGAAGTCATTGCCAGCCGTCTTGTATCCTGGCAGAAGATCCCCCAAAAAGCAAGCAGCATTTCTTTCCTCGGTAAGGCCCGGGGGATGCCTCCTACCTTCCTTCTCGCAGTCAGCTATGTAACTCAGAAAGGTTCAAGCTACTCTTTACAGCTTCTTGTGGTTGACGCTAAAAGCTCCTTGTGACAACTCTTCTTGTTCGCTCCTACGCGTATGCCGAGTTCCATCTTTGGCAAAATTTAACTCGTTGCCAGAGAGAAAACATCACAAAATTAACCGACCCCGCCCATGGTCAGTAGTCAAGATCTATTATTAAAATAGTTGTCGAGGGAAGGAAGTCGAAAATCAACAGCTCAGAAAGCTTTCCCTTGACAAACCCGCACTTTGACAGCAAAAACCGCCCGCTACTCACAGAGAACAGAGATAAGAAGGATACGAGGGCTCGCTCGCGCTTAGATTTTTTAACATGTATGCGGGCCCCTTTAACTTGACTATTTAGGTAACTTAGGCCCACTATGAACGAAAGACCAATGACACACCGAGACTTTATTAATAGAGAAAGAACCGAACCGGGGCGATAACGACCCAGGAAATGGTGAAGTACGTGAATCGACTCCCTCTTCGAGTAATTTAACATAAAAGAAATAAGAAGGGACTGACTTCTTTCTTGACAAGGATCCTGAAAAAATAGCACATGCTCCAAGGACTTCACGGAATTAGGAGACACACTGGTAGGTATACCAAGATAAATGCGGGTAAGCGACGAGGGAAATAACCCCTCCATAAAAGCATGCATTTCCAGACAATAATATTTTTTGTGGAGGAATTGTCCACATGATGAACCAAACGGAGCGGGCAGAGTTAAGTTACCATTTTAGGAGCAGATGTCCCGGCTGGTAAGGGAAATGAATGAAAGAAGCTTCTCCAATAGGAGGCATGTGTTGAGCATTTGTTTCATTCCTTTGGCAGCTGAAGTTCCAGTTCCATTTCTAGTTCAGGTTATGGTTCGAGTGGAGAAGCTGAGAGGGTATACCTTCCCTAAGTTGGTTAGATCGCCCGAACGAAGGAAGCTGTCTTGTCTCGCAATGGCAGAAGAAAGATATATCATTGCCAATCAGGAGGAAAGGAAGAGTCATTTACCTCCTTCTCCCTATCGATGTTTGACCCGATTTTGCTCCCCCTCCCCGGGCCTTAGCAGCCCACCCCATAAACCGCTTCCCTCGACTGCCTTAAGAGAAGAGAAGAGGAGGGGATTTCGAAGAATGGAATGAAAATTCCTAAAGGTAGTTTACTTGCTTACTTGTTAGAGTCAGGAATCTTTGTAAATTTTTTCCGCAGGGAAATGGCTCCAAAGGACCTGTGCCTCTACCCTGACGAGGTTATCGTCACCGATGGTAGTCGCGAGTTCGCGGAGTACACAACCTTAAGGTAAGGTCGTGGGTCCGACAATGGCTTAACTGCGTCAAGTGGTACTACATGGTTGCAGTATCTCCAGGTGTAACCATCCAGGATCTTTTAGACGCACCATTCGTGAACCGGAAATGGCAGGTTGAATCGACCGACTCTCAGTTGGTCCGGTTCGGCCTTGTCTGGAAGGTTTTTTATTTTGTTGCCCTAAGGCGTTTGGCCTGTTAAGCTAATGTCCTAGTCGCTGCAGCGATTACGGATACCTCTAAGGCATCTCTACTCTACGAGTCCCGCAGCTTTCTTTATGTTTTGTGAGTTGACTCCTTATGCTAGAGCCAACCTGGCCTACCGGTCTTGTAAACCGATAGTTCCTTTAGGTTTTACACCTGAGGGTGCCCTCCTTTGGGGTCCATACATAAAGGACCTCATCAGGGTGTTGATAAAACTAGCTAAACCGGTTTCAGTGAGGTCAATCAAATGGAGAGGTACGAAGAGGACTTTTCGGTCCTCTCCTTACTGTCGAGTTACTACGTTCCTTGCCTTTTGAACTTAATTCTTGGTACCGAAAGGTAACAGAAGGAAGTAAAAGACCCTCATTATTAGGTGTACTGTGGTACCCAAGAGTTAGGTATTGTTTCGACGAAAACAACGAGTTGTTTAGTCGAATGGATATGGCCTCACTTGAAAAGGAGGTCATTCCCAATGATCCTACTCCTGTCAGAGTCCTTACCTCGGACGACTGGGTCAGTCGGTTGAAGGAGCGGGGAAGAGACGAATATTTGCCATAGGAAACTAGCTGAATCAGAGGTTATTAAACTCTGTTCATAGATGGCTGATGGATGTTATCCGTCAGATTACTATGGGTGGCATGCATGGATGTCTTTTCTGCCTTAGCCATTCTCCCTACGTAGCAACTTAAAGTAGATGATAGATGGGATGAGATGCTAGCCTTAGCGCAGAAGATTCATCATGGAGCCTTAGGTTAGGCTACTACTAAAGATAGGATGGATTGTCAGGAATGGTAGATGGAGCAAGGAAAAGCATCCAACCAATCCTGTTAGGCTGTTTTGGAAAGCCAGCGGCAAGGAAGGAAAGGAAGCGAAGTAAGCATCCAATCCTGATCTTTTCACTTTCGAGATCGAAGAATCATAGCTATCAGTGCATTAGCAAAGCAGACCCAGAAAGGGAGAGTTCTTCTTTTGCAATAATGGGCATTACCGCAGCTTTGACTCTGTTGCAGGTATGAAGTGCCATGAAAAATGGAAATGGCTATCAGTTCTGACTCTCCTGACCCGAGGTAAGTAGTTCGGCTAAGCCGGAAGAAATAAATGTGAGAGTTTAGCCTATTAATTCACTTGACTTTAGGGAAGCCGGTTAAATGCTTTGCTTTGTGAGGGAAAAGCGGGCGCAGCTCACGCACGGCACAAGAGGCAAGGAACTTTCAACAGGCATGGACGGCCTCCTTTTGAGGGTGAATGTCGGAAATCGTCTTCCCTTTGATGGACATTAAAAAGGATCCGCTAGGCTGTCTTACATGTCCCCAAAAGCTAAAGGGCTCCTTTCCTTCTTGATATCGCTGATGCGCCTTTAAGAGTTCTCGTTCTACTTCCTGTTAGCTGGTAGAGTATGAACTACGACCGATGGGATTGGTACAACCACGAATCTTTTGTTTGCTTTGTTTACAGCCGGCCTTACTTAAATAGGAGTTTATGCTTCTAGCTAGCTTGCTTTGGGCATTGGGAAAGAAAAGATAAGGCAATTTAGTTCTCATCCGCCCTTGCCTGCGAGCCTAGGAGCAGCTTCACCTTGCGTCTGCTAACCGCTGCTAAAAAGCCAGTGACCGGTAATTCGATGCTACCACCAGACTAGCCGGTATACTAGAGATTTAAGTTCACTGAACCCGCTGCCAAAGAAAAGTAAGCCTAAACCTCTCAACCCCCCGTGTCCGGGGCAAAGGTTACGTTCCCTAGGTTCCCCTCTTTCCCCCTGACTTCATGTTTTTCTGTCTTCTTTTGTGGATTCCAACTGAATTGTCATCTTTCCCGCCTTCCGCGCGGTTTCTTGGCTCAAGATATTCTGATTCCCCTAGTAGTCTGACTGCTCTTTCTCTCAAGCGAAGTGCTTCTCGGGACAAAGGGCAAAAGGGAAGGTAGCTCGTGATTATCGTCTCGGTCTTCTCGAAAGGTAGTTGAGTTCCTTCGGGTGAGAAATAATAGGAATTGATCTAGCTATAGATATAGATAGAGTGTCAGATGAAAGGTTTCGCCCCTGACTCCTTGACTTATTGATGTCGCTGATCCGCCTTTATCGTATCAGGAAATGTGGGGCCGGGCCGCTCTTTCTAACATAGGAACTTACTCAAAATCTAAAGTCCGCCTAAGGGAGAGAGAAGACTATAAACAATAAATTTAGGAGGTTTGAAGATGCTCGAGCAAAGCGAAGAGGTTTTACCTAGCATTAGAAACTTAATCCATTGTTGCTTGTTGCTTGTTATCCCTTGCTTTTAGTTAGGTATAACTCCTCTATTATCTCCTTGTTCTAACCCTATTGCTTCCTTTGCTTCGCCTGGAACTACCTTGCTAACACCTTCTTACAGTCTTGCTGAGCTTAGGAAGTGAAGTTGTAGGGATGAAAAGCCTATATTTAACTTACAAACAAAGGCTGAAAGCTGGTGTTTTCCAGTCACAAGAGAGCATTAGTGCTTCCCGTTAGTCTTACGAGGAGGAGAAGCACGTAATGGGAACGATATTGGAGCTTAAGGTTGGTACATTGCACGCATTAAAACCTTAACTCTTATAACCTGTCTTTCCTTGTTATCCCTTGCTTTTAGCTCGGTATAACCCCTCTTCCTCTTGCATTTGCTTGTAATTCCTTGTTTCCCTCGTTCTTGTTTCTATCGTAGGTTCGGTAGTAGGTTCCAGCTTGCACATGCAGGATCCCCCCTTCGTCTTTCTTTTCTCCCGGCTATAGCGCGAGAGAAACGCGAACAGCTAATTCTCAAGCAGGGGATTCGTCGAAAATAACCTATCTGTCTACTTGCTTTCAGTTCTGTTCCCGTCTCGATCTTGGCTTAAAGCTCTCAACCTATTCTTGCGCAAACCAAGTTCACTGCCTTAATTTAGGAGTGAAATAACCCGCTATGAGTAGAAGGGACTTTGCCGGGTATTCCTTCTTCTTGATAGCGCAGGGGTACAGCGGTAAATACCGAGGAAAGAAGATAATTAAATTTTATCCCACGCCACGGTAGATAGTGTTCTGTGGGGGAAGGAAGCCAGGCATAGGCGTATCCGCCTTGGAAGTTTGAATGCCCTAAGATGGTCCTTCGACAAGCCCGCCCTTTGCTAAAGCTTCTATGGATTGCACCTTTAGAAAGGAAATCAGCATTTAGGACAATTTTCCCAACCAAGGAAAAATGGCACATTTCGATGTCTCGTAGGAAAGGAAATCCGATCTATGAAAAAATTACCTAAAGAAAAGTGTCGATTTAACTTTTTAGGAGTAAGTCAAAAAGGTCCCTCGAATGGAATAATAGCTTTTCCGGAGGAAGTAACTTATTATATTATAATAGTTGATAGTTTATGTAAGAGAAGAAGTTCTTGGTTTGGTTGAATTCAATCAAAAAAAGTACCATTTTCAATTGAATCATGAATCCCTTATTCTATAAATTTACTAAGAGAAGAAATAACATAAGTGATAGAAAGAATCGTTAAGTAGGCTAATCTTGAAAGGTTTCCATTTTCGATTGAGAAAGCGGCAGGCCCAAAGACCTCTCCAATAAGTGCACCGAAAGGGGGCCGGAGAGACGGTCAACCTGAGATCGGCTAAGATCGAAAAGCACTTGGTTTACAGCCAAGCAACGACAAAGAAAAAAGAGTCCCATGTCTTTCTTGATTGGTAAACCCAACCAGCGATTTACAACAAACAAGTATTTCCTCTTGTTGGGGGGAGCAGTTAAAAAATGAACCAAAGTAAATGAAATTAGAATGGCCATTCCTCACAATTGCTCCTTGTGATGCAGCGGAACCATGGCAATTAGGATTTCAAGACGCAACATTGAGAGGTAGGTAGCACCGTCGTTGGAGGTGTTCGGGTCAATTCGAGGATTAGGGACAGTGTGGTCACCAGAGCAATAGGAGGATACCTTAGAAGCTACCCCCATGCCATGTTCATGGACATGAGGACTTACTAAAACGTCCTCTACTCGACGACCACGTTTCGAGGGGCAAGGCAACAGTGAGGCGTACCCTAGGAGTGGTGTGTGATTTGTGTGTCACTTTCAGTTATTTTTTGTCTTGTCATGCATTGGTGATCTACGCTTTGTTTTTATTTTTTTGGCATACATTCTTTCATGTGATTATTAGCAGTTAAGGGTGCGGGAATTAAAAGTCCTACGCTATTACAAAGGCGCGGGTCTACATCGCCAAATTAAACCAAGGCCCGATTTGAAATAAATAAAATGCGGAAAGCAAATATCCTAATTATCTATTACAAAGCTTTGGGGCAATTACATGAAACTTAAAAAAGGGAAATAAAAGTAAATGTGCGAAAAGAAATAAAAATCGAGAATGCGAGGGCGTTGGACCCTTTTAAAGAAATTAAATCGAAATCATAAATTATATAAATTAAATAAAAGAAAGAACTTTTTTTTTTGGAGTTTTTGTGTTTATGGAATTAAGGAGAATTAAATTGGAATTAAAAGTTAATTAAAACCCTAGTTCTAAATTGTTTTTAATTTATAAAAAAATGTTTAAGTTGTAACCTAATTTAACCCTAATTAATTAAATGGCATATTTATTTACAAAAATAATTAATAATTAATAATGGTGAAAAAGGAAAAAAGAATAAAAGTATAAAAACCCTAATTTCTACATTTTTTAGTTTATTTAAAAAAATTAGAATTAAACCTAAAATTAAACTAATTAGTTATTAGAATTTTATTTACAAAATATTGATTAAAAAATAAAAGAACATATTTTATTTTTTATAATTTCTGATTTTTTTTGTATTTTTATGTTATAAAAAAATTAATTTGATGAATTAATTAAAATAATAAAGCAAACAAAAGAATAAAGAAAGAATTAAAACAAGAAATAAAAATATACATATGCAAACCAGAGGGGGTGAGTTGGCCCAATTGGAGGTGTGATTAGAAGAGTTTTGGCCCATCAGGATGTTGGCCACGTTGACTTTCCCAGCGCTTATGTGGGATAGCTGACTAACGTACATGGTAGTCGCTTGTTGATAGCCATTAGATTGGACTTCCTGGGCGCGTGGCAAGTTAAGAAGCGAGGTTGCATGATAGTCCTTGGATGGTACGCTGCACAGAAGCATGTTAATTGAAAAAGCATGAAATATATAGGGGGACCTGGGAATCGAACCCAGGTCCCAAGGCTTGCCAATCAGATTCCCAACCACCACACCATTCAACGCGTTTGTATGTATCATGAAAAACAAATATTATAAACAATAAACCACGTTAATGATATTAACAAAAAAAAACGCGCTGAAAATTTAAATGATCCAACCATGATATGACACGCAGGCTTCTTCCTCGTTGTGCCTGTAAACAGAAAAGAGATAGCGGGGGTTTTAAACCCCCACTAAATGCATCCTGCGAAAAATAGCGATTAGAGTATCGTTGATCATGAATTGAGCGCGATGTATGGAATTAGTTCGTATGAAGGTCACGAATCCAATGGTCCTGGTCTTATGGCTTAATTTTTCCAGATACTCAAAGCCCCAAATGGAAGCTTCTGAAACCCTAGAACATTTCAATGGTATATTTCGCTACAGGCAAGATTAGTTCAATTAACATACACCAAAAGCTTCAGTGAGTCCATATTAGTAAAAATCAGCATTTAAAATGTATGAAATATGCATATAAATCAAAGTATGATTATGAGAGTTTTCTTGAACAGGACTATGGTGTTCTACCGTTTCTCTGCGTGTGGGGATGTGATTTTGATTGAGAAAGCTCCCTAGTTATCCCAACAAGCCTTTGGAATGGTCCTTTTGCCTTGAAACACCCTCTAGCTATGAAATCAGTTTTTGAGAATTTTTGGAAAAAATGCAAAGTTGGTTTTCAGGTTTGGGCGCAGCTAGCTTGTGTTTGTGATTAGGGTTGTGATCTGCTTATGTATGCCAATGAATTAGGGTAACAAAACAAGTCCAAAATCCATGGAATCAATGCTTTTGAATTTTGTGATTTTGCATAATCTTTTTCAATCTTTTTTTATGCCAAATATGCCAAATCATGAATAATTCTTGCCTTTTTAGTGATGCACGAAATCTTGAGTTTATGATAGACCTATTAGCTGCATAAAAAGATTTAAAATACATGCTTGAGTATTTTTTCATATTTAATTTTAATTAAATGAATTAATAACATTAAAAGTTCAAATAATTAATAAAAAATAAGAAAATAACTCCCCTTTGGGTCAATGGGTCGTGCATAGCTTTTGGATGATGATTCTTGGAAGAAATTGAGGCCCATTAGCAATTTTGAGGCATTTGAAGCAAAGTTGACTTTTCAAAATTCCCAAAAATTTCCCAACTTCCACAAGGCATATCTTTCTCAATTTTTAAGCTTTGATCATGTTCTTGGACATTTTGGAAAGGTCTTGAAGTCCTCTAACCAATGCCTTTGGTACCATGTTATTTTGATTTACAAATCTCAAGTTATGGTCTTTGACTTAAAATGCCTTTTTGTTGACTCTTGAAAATGACCTATAATGTTGAGATTGATAACTTTTTGTGAGAGCATTTCTTGGACTTGAAGTGTGAAGAGGAGTTGTAGGAAATGTCATTATCTTCAAAATGAGCTTTGGATGTGATTTTTATGACAAACCATGTGGAAGTTATGCCTTGGTCAAGTTACAGTTGACTTTTTCAACTGTCCAAAAATAGAAACTTTTGCATCTTGAGACTTTTTGAGCCATGCCTTGAGAATCATGATCAAGAATTGATCAAATGATGTTTGTGGCTTCAAAATAAGATGTTGACCAAAAATTTGGACTTTTGACTGTCAAATGACCATTTTGCCCCTGTAGTTGACTGTTGAGCAATTAGGGTTTTTGACTGTGCAATTTTATGCTGTGAGTCTTGAAACTTGGCATAAGGATACTTGACAATGTTTTAGGCATGTGGGACTTGATTGGACCCTTGGAAACTTCAATTTCTTTGCTAGAATCAAAACCCTAATTTTTGACTGTTAGGAGGCCATTGGACTGTGCAACCCTTGGGAGATTTTGAAGCATGCTCTTTGCAAATCTTGAAGAATATGGGAGGGCAAATTTTGGGGTACAACAGTTGCCCCTGTTCAATCTTCTTAGACCTGAGGATGTAGATTGGCTGACGTGCCTTTCGTAATCCGAAGGTGGAAGATGATTGAACACTAGAGTGCCCAGAAATTTGCGCTCACATAGTAGTGTGATGGTGGGAATGGGCTTACGGATGCCATTTAGAGATTGATGGTTAGGAAGATGGGCTTACAAATGCCATGTTGAGGGGTGATGGATAGGTGGATGGGCTTATAGACGCCATCTGGGTGTCGATCGCGTAAGAGATTCCTTAGCGAGAACTTGCGTACCTGCCAAAGAAAATGATTACCTGGCCTGTTACAGGAGCTGGTCTTCAGACTCTTTGTGTAGATGTGCCCTGACTGGTTACAGGCATTGAATCTTTGAACTCTTCAGACGTGCTCTCAACGGGACGGTGAGAGAACCCTGGACGATTATTTCCTCAACAGTAACGCTGAGCAAACCTGGGGTGATTACTACCTCAACAGTAACGATGAGAGAATCTGGGGCGATTACTATCTCAACAGTGACGATGAGAGAACCTGGGGCGATTACTACCTCAACAGTAACAGTGAGAGAATCTGGGGTGATTACTACCTCAACAGTAACGATGAGAGAATCATGGGCGACTTCAACCTCAACAGTAACGATGAGAGAATCATAGGCGACTTCAACCTCAACAGTAACAATGAGAGAATCATGGGCGACTTCAACCTCAACAGTAACGATGAGAGAATCATAGGCGACTTCAACCTCAACAGTAACGATGAGAGAATCTTGGATGTCTTCTACTGAGTCTTCATTAGGAAAATCTTTAGGAATCGATTTAACTGGACTAGAGAAGGCCTTTGACTGGATAAGGATCAGAAAAATCTTTAGGAGTCGATTTAACTGAACCAGTCAAGGTCTTGGAATCTTCAACTGGATAAGAATCGGGGAGATCTTAGGGTCGATCTGACTGAACCAGAGAAGGCCTTTGACTGGATAAGAATCAGAAAAATCTTTAGGAGTCGATTTAACTGAACCAGACAAGGTTTTGGAATCTTCAACTGGATAAGAATCAGGGAGATCTTAGGGTCGATCTGACTGAACCAGAGAAGGCCTTTGACTGGATAAGAATCAGAAAAATCTTTAGGAGTTGATTTAACCGAACCAGGCTAGGTCTTGGAATCTTCAACTGGATAAGAATCGGGGAGATCTTAGGGTCGATCTGACTGAACCAGAGAAGGCCTTTGACTGGATAAGAATCAGAAAAATCTTTAGGAGTCGATTTAACTGAACCAGACAAGGTCTTTGAAATAACTTCAGCTGGATAAGAATCAGGGAGATCTTAGGGTCGATCTGACTGAACCAGAGAAGGCCTTTGACTGGATAAGAATCAGAAAAATCTTTAGGAGTTGATTTAACCGAACCATGGTAGGTCTTGGAATCTTCAACTGGATAAGAATCAGGGAGATCTTAGGGTCGATCTGACTGAACCAGAGAAGGCCTTTGAATGGATAAGAATCAGGAAAATCTTTAGGAGTCGATTTAACTGAACCAGACAAGGTCTTGGAAATAGCTGAGAACTTGATTGGATCTTTCCTGAAAGGTAAAGGTCAGTCATATGCAATGCATGATATGGATCAAGCAATGATGTTCTCAATATAAATGAGATTGTATGTTCATGATGTATAGAAATGCGATGTTTATG